ATAATTATCCTTCAAATAACAAAAAAATCAATTCATGTATACTCAATCAACGATAGAAAGCAAAAAGCAAAAAAACCGGAGAAAGTGACCTATTACCTCGGTTGTTCTCTTCTCTTGTCTCGTGAATTTTTTTGTGAAGTCCAAAACAACATACGGAGAAAAAAAGATAGAGAGAGAGAGAAAGAAAGAAAGAGAAGAACGATTCATTCTCTTTTTTTCCTCTCGTTCTTTCACTGGTCGTGTTTTTGTTAGAAATAATAATAATAATATAGAACACGAAGAAGAGAAAAACGAATGCCACTATCCTTTCATTTTCTATTTCATATCAAGGTAAATATGATCTACATTCACATGAAGAGATTTCATATAAATCCTATTTTGATATTTTTTATTATTTTATCATTTTGTTTAACACCTATTAATTCATATCCATGTCCATCGGAATGTATTTGTAAACCTATTGATATCAATGATGAAGATTTTACACGTATGAATTATATTATTGATTGTACTAATGTAACATTCAATAGTAATCAATTTATTTTTCACGCTCAATCATGGTCAATAGTTGAAGAAAAAATTATTGACGAGGATGATAGTGTTGATGATGATAATATAATTAATGATTATATGATTTCAATTGATTTAACAAATTCTTCATCATTAAAACAATTTAATAATGAAACAATACAATTAACAGGTTTTTCGTTTTCACTTCAAAGTCTTTCATTAGCAAGTCAAACAAAAAATTTTTTTATTGAATTAAATGCATTCAATTCAACTTTATATCAAAACATAAAAATACTCAATTTATCTTCATGTTGTCAACAACTACCAAATGAGTGTTCACAAATGTTTCGTCCACTTACTAAACTTCAAGTACTTGATTTGAGCGGGTCAGATATGTATAAACGTTGCCTTAGCATACCAGGTAGGTTATCTTTTTTCGTTTTCATTCTGTTGTGAACAAATGCATAAATGAAATGCTAAATATTCATTTTCAAAAATTCAAAATTTAGAAGAAATCATTCATAAATCATTACATGATAATAGAAAAATAAGATAGATGTGCCCTTGAATATGACTCAGGGAAATAAAAAACAACAAAAACAAAATATGTTTTATACTTTTGTAATTGCTCTCTAATGTTATTTGTTTATATCTATGACTCGGATACACTGGATAACACGAATTTATTCTGGTGTTATGTAGATAATGTTATGCATTTGAATTTAAGGCTCATCGAACTTTTAACAATCAATCAATAAGTAAAATGAAAGATATATATTGTCAATATTGTACTCAAGAGAATTTCGATATCAGTGACGGTTTTCGAGGGAGAGTAATGTTAACGATGACTCTTGTCAAAACAAAAAAAAATCTTTTTCGATTTTTCTTAGGAGATAAGTCTGAAAATTGAACTGATACTATTTCTAATAGCCTTCACAAAACATTTGTTTTTGACTATGATCATGTTTCTTTCCGTTGAAGTGGTTTCATTTATCAAAAACCTTAAATTTACCATTGGTCTAAATATCTTGATCATAAATAATATAGATGAAGATTGTCTTGTTAGAAAAACGTCTGAAATTAATTCGAAATGAAGACTAAATTACATTCCATTACAAAATTTTTGATATAGATCATATAAATAAATTGGTCTATTTCTTAAAGATGAAAAATCATTACTTATTTTTCAAAGTTCATCCAATTCAAAATGTCGCAAAACTTCTCTTGCACTCACAAAAATAATAAACTCAGACGAAAGAAAATTGTATGATTGTATTTGATTTATCGCTTATTTGACAAATATAATTCTGTCTAATTAGAGCCCTGGGAGTACTGATTGTCTAGTTGAATCCGGGTCCGAAAATTTTAGATCCGATAGGCTCTAGTCGTCTGAAAAATGGGTAGAGTGCGCTAGTCTCCAACTACAAAAAAAATCGAACAGAATTTCATATTTTCGGAGTGGCTATCCAATTTCGATTAATAAATTTCACTGAGACTATTAAAGTACGGGTCGATCAGATTCAAAAATTTTCAATCCAATGAGTTCTAATTGCGAGATCATTTCGTGTCCTGAAAAATCTTGTAAAACATTCAGCATCATTCTGAAAATTTTCAGGATCCGAATATTTTGAAGAAAAAACTTGCACGGACAAACGAGATTTTAGAACTATATGTCTACTATTGTTCATCTAGCTAAAAGATCAAAGATTCTATGAATTCTATGAATATAAAATATTTGAAGATCATTTCTAATAAGAATACATTGGCATATTAAATCTTATTTAGACACAATATCTTCAACATTACACGATCTTATTTTACGTAATAATATCTATGATACTAATACATTCTCTCATTCAAGTCGATTATTTGATGGTGTACGTAAAATAACTGGTAAACTTGATTTACAATATTCACGTTTTAATCTGGGTAGACAATTAGAAGGAAATTGTTTATTTGATTTATTTAATTCTATAACAATATTAGATTTATCATTTGTACAATTTGATTCTATATCAAATGATATTGAAAATCATATAACACATTTACTTAAATGCAAAACTCAATCAAATAAGGTTCGTCATGGTGAACAATTAATTAATTTATATTTACGTCAAATAAATCTTGAATATTTACCTGAATGGTTTACAAATGAACGTTTTCCACGATTAAGCCAACTTGACTTATCATATAACAATATTTATTCTATTGATATTCAAACATTTACAACCTTAACATCAATATCATTAGCTTATAATCCAATTGAATTGAATAAAATATCTTTTCGTACAAATCATATATATGAATCTATTAATTTACGTTCAACAACTCAAAATCAGACATTAAATTTACAAACTCAACTAGAATCTTTATTTAAATTAGCAACAAATATTGATTATAGTGAAAATAATGGAATTATATATAATAATATAACAAAATTTTTAATTGATATTGATTTTTCAAAGGAAACATCTTTGAATTTATCAAACACAAATATTTATTCATTTGATATACAAGATATTTCAAAATTTGATGATATAAATCGTTTAGATATAAGTTTTAATTATTTAACTGAACTTAATTTACAAAAACAAACAAAATTAACATATTTAGATTGTTCAAATCAATTTATAAAAACTTTAATATTAAATAAAGATTATTCAAATTTAATTGAATTAAAATGTTCAAATAATTCATTAAAAATACTCGAAAATTTTTCATTTTTAAATCATAAAACTTTAAAATTAATTGATTTATCATTTAATTTAATTGAATCATTAGAAAATTTATTTTCTAATTTAAATAGTCAATATTTACATACAATTAATTTAAAATCAAATTTAATTAAACGAATAACAACAAATATGTTTCATAAAAAATTAATAAGTCTTTATTATATAGATTTATCATCAAATCAAATTAATTTAATTCAAAAATATTCATTTCAATCACCTAATTTACAAATACTTGATTTAACAAATAATCCATTAAAAAATATTGAAATGAAATTTTTATTTACATCATCATTACATTTATTTTATATTATTAATAATACACAACAATTAATTGATCGTTGTACACATTCAACATCAAATGATAATCTTTTATTAACTTATATAACATGGTTTCAACAAAATGGTACGTATATGAAAAATACACAAGTAGAAAAAAGTCAACAAATACAATTTGATAAATGCTTACGTCGTTATATATCAAGAAGTAAAGTTAAATGGATTAAAATTAATAATATATATCATATTAAACATTTATCTTTATATATAACAATGGCTGCTATTACAATTGGAATTATACTTGGAGTTATTTATTTATATAGAAAAAATAAAGTGGCTTTTTTCACAAATTTACAACGTTATAGACCATTAGATGGACATAGTTTAGTAGAAAATACAGATGATATTAGTCATCATGAACATGAAGATGATGAAATTATTATGAACCTTAGTGAAGTACCATTTAATACGAATACTCGATCATAAACTAAGATTTAATCTGCTGCATTTCTTTTTCTGTTTTCTCATAAATAAATATTAAATCGGTTTAACTGAATCGTATAATTGATATTTTTGTATAGAATTTAACACGACAAAAAAAAAACCAACTAATTATAGGAATTCAGAAGGTTTTAAAATTATATTTTGCCCTAAGTTTTCTTTTCTTTTGTTTTGATCGATCAACGAAGGTTATTCTTTATCTTATTCAAACCCCACGATTGACATCATCCTAAGTTTATTTTTTAACATTTATAAATAGCTTAGACGTGCTTTATCTTATTCATATATGTCCTATAAGTGCTAGATGATTCATGTGAACAAATATTAGAAATTTGAATTGCTAAAATTTACTTAGATAATTAAGAAGAAGTTTTCCAGTGAAACATGTAGAAATGAAAAACTAGTAAAAAAGTACTACTGATTCGATCCGTCAATGACAACGAAACTATAAATCTAAATTCATATGTGAAATTATATTTCATTGCTGATAGATAGATTTGTGATACACAGAAGCCAGCATTAATGTGATAGACAGACAAGATCATTGAGAATATAGTACGTTAGTTTTCAATCAATGACTACTTATTTATCTTTTTCCAACGGAAGTGGAAGTGTTTCTTGCATTTTTTTGACAAAGAAAATATGTTATCTCTGTCAAAAAACAAAAGTAAAATCATGATCACCTCTCACAAAAACATCAGATATGCAAAAATTCGATGACTTATTTATGAACTTTCAAATGAAAATCAAAATGTTATTAAAATACAATCGAATTTCACATCGATCCATGATTCTTGTAATACTAATTGCTTTAATCAGTTGCAGCGGTTGAGCTCGTGATGGACTAAGCCCATCCTAGCTCTTCCACTATTTATCAGATCAAATTTTTATTCTTATAAGAAAAATCTACTGACTTTCACATTTTTAATTTCAATTATCTATGCATTCGGATAATCAATTATCAACAAAAACGCTACTCTAAACTTCTTAATAGCATACAATAGAGTACAACTATTAATCAAACGACTAATTATAATATTACTTACACTTATAGCTGCAGTAATCTCTTTGCCATGTGGTATTCGTCTTACATAACCACCTTGTACTAATGCCATGCATAAACCCATAATAAAAAACATTTTTCCTTGTTTCATGCTATTCAATAATAATTGTAAGGAAAAAAAAAGTTTTTTTTTTACTAAAATAATAATTTTACCTATTCCAATTAAATCGATTATAAACAAGAAAAGTAATTGTAAATTCTAAACCAGCAAATATAATCATATAAAAAAAACTTGCTAAACCCAATCGACGTAAAATAGTTAAATCTAAATAAATATATAAATGTCAAAATTATATATCATAAATATTTCAAAAATGAATCTACCATCAACAGATTTAGCATTATGAATAGCAGTAAATTTAAATAAATGCCAAGGTAATATTTTATTATAAATATTTGTTATTTTTGTTTGTTGAT